CAGAATTAGAGGCAGGCCTCTATTTCTCTTTGATCACAACAGACTACCAGTGGAATGAATAAAAACGAGATTTTGTGTCTCTTTGAACCTTTAAAATACTAGATTAATTTATTGAAAAAGTACAGTTACCATAACGGTATACAGAACATTATTCAGACATCTTCCAACAGCTGCAATTTTTCTGCACGGCAGTACGAATAACAAAAATTTAAAAAAGACTGATTTGCGAAACAAACAATTAATGAAAACTGTTCTGCCATCACGGCGAAATTAAATGACGTTATGACAAACACCAGATACAGCACCGGGACTTGATCAACAGCCGATACCGCACAGTGACGTCACAAACCAGTAGGTGGCAGTTATGTTCTTTGACAAACATGGATGCCTCCAGTAAAGCACATTCAAATTAAATTACTCTTAATTAAGAACACTTCCATAAAATGTCATATTTAAAGTACTTTCAGAAATTCTGAATATGACCGGACTTTCTCTTTAAACAAATAAAACAACTCTTTAACTTAGCAAAAATAATAAGTACATTTTAAGGTGACAAAATAGCTAAGGTCAACTTAAACAAAATCCCCCTCCAGTTCTTTGGGAAAGTGGTTCGTTCCTGGTTTCCACCTTCAGCTGATTGCAGAACTTCAAAGAAAAGAATAAGCGTGAGTTAAACCATTCGGACATATTAACTAAAGTTTGCACCCGTTAGAAAATATACATCTAAATGCAATAACAAACTAATTGTGAAACTAAATACAAACTATAAAACTATACAATCACTTTGTGGTGGAGGTGGAAGGATCCACCACTGGGGGAAACAAAACTTTATATCAAACCAAAGATGAGTCTTCAGCAAGGAAAGTTTGGGAACCACTGTTAGAGAAAATGTTGGATTAAAACGTTTTTAGCCTCTCAGTTATTGAATCAGTTATAGCTTCGAGTTCCTCTGGAGCCTCTTGCAGCTATATTTAAGGAGTGTTGCAGTAAAGGACACAAAAACCTGAGTTTTCTTCCAGACATGATTGGTAAAGTTCAGTATTATGCATATAAACTCTGCTTCTTTTGTCCTCTTAAATGAATAAATACTTGTCTGATTTAGGTTCTTCATCTTCATGGGGATTTCCCCCCCCTTATTAATTAAGATTACTGCTGGATTTATTTTTTTTCTCCAATAAATTTCGAGCTGCAAAAGTTCTTTCTCACCATTTATTTTTTTTAAAGCAGCTTCCTCATATCTTCAACAGCCTCACCAGGGTTTGACCATGAATACTGCCTGCCCAGGTCTGCAGTATGGCTGGCTTCCTTCAATGGTACTCTCCTCCCAAACACCAAAATAAAAACGCTCTCTCATAGCAAACATTGAATACACAACTCTTTTTAGTTTACACCAACTTCACAGTAGCGTAGTAGCTTTGCTCATGACTGCAAATGTTTTGAAAAAAGCCCTTGTGTGCATTTTTATTTTTTTTTGTGTGCATTTTTTAAAGTAGCAAAGCCAAACTGCTTCTTTATTAACAGTTCCCTGCCGAGGTTTTTCTGATGAGGCTGCAGAGCATGGTAATTAGGAGGAAAGCTGGCATTTTGAATTTGGACCATCTCTCCTAGCAATGTGTGATTAGTTATGCAGAAACAGGGACGTCTGACTCAGGAGTTATTTTAGTTGAGTAATTGCACAGTTTTCTGGCAGGTGTACACAAAATGTGACAGATCTTAAAGGTTTACTTTCATGTTCTTTATTTGCGAAGGTAATCCCAGATTATTTCCAGCAAGGCGGCCCAGCCGGCAGAGTAACTTTACTTTTTGTCTGTTCGCTCAGAGCAAAGTCAGGACAGCGAGGTGGTGCTGCTCTCTGACTCCAACTCCACCCAGGATGCCTTCACAGATCCCGCCAGCTCCCAGGACACCAGTCACAGGCCCGCCTCCGTCAAAGCCAGCCCGTCGTCATCAGAGAGCACCACCCCAGTGAAGGACAAGCAGCCCGCCACCGAGGAAGCAGGTAGACACAAAGACTTTTTATTTTTATTTCATTTTACAGAGACATGAGCAGATTACTTCTTTCTATCACTTGAACTCTATATCTCACCACTCTGCTGCTGTTTTCCATTTTTTGTGAGATTTTACACTTGATAAACATTTTTTAGCTCAATTACTAAGAGATGAGTGAATCTGAGCCATGGGAACCCAGATTCTCTCTATAATGTATGAATTCAATAAAACAAGGTTAAAAATAAAGCTCTGTTTGGTTTCTTTAGAATGAATAAGACTGCTTAAACTGCTTAAACCTTGTTAAACCTAAATGATTGAAAATCCAAATTTTGAGTCAAAAATGTAATTGGGGACAGGACAAGACCTTATTACTTTTGTAACATAAAAAAAATTTATATTCTGATGGAAAAAATGAATGTCAATTTAATAGCAAGAAATGGTGATTTTAAGAAAAACAACAAAAGTGCTTCTATAAGAAATTCATTAAAAACGGAGTGAAAGAAACACTTTTTTGGTCACAGAGTTTTAATGCTAGTAAGAACAACGGAGTATTAGGGCCAGGCTAGAGATATCTTTTTTTCTATTTCGAGAATAAAGTCATGACATTACGAAAATAAAGTCGGAAATTTACGAGAATAAAGTCGCAACGAGAATAGTCTTAAAATTACGAGAATAAAGTCGTAAAATTACGAGAATAAAGTCATAAAATCACGGGAATAAAGCCGTAAAATCACGGGAATAAATTCGTTATATTACGACAAAAAAGTCACAATGAGAAAGTCATAAAATTATAAACCATCATATGATATTATATTATTATATTATAAATTTGTATTTATGAACCTCTGAGTAACTCCATTCTAATCACATTTAAACTTGACAAATTTAGAACAAGAAATAAATTCAGACTGATTTTATTAGTTTTACTTTGTTTTCATCAACACACCTCACTTTTTTTTGGTGAACTCAAACATATAACGAAAACTTACTTTACGGTTTATTAAAACTTGTTTAATTTTTCATAT